TTGATTTTACAGGCTCATAGGCAGAAGGGACTTGCCTTGTCTCAGATGAGCCTTTGGACTGTGGTCTTTTGAGTTAATACTGAAATGAGTTAAGACTTTGAGGGACTGTTGGGAAGGCATGATTAGTTTTGAAATGTGAGGACATGAGATTTGGGAGGGACCAGGGGCAGAATGACATGGTTTGGCTGTGTCTATCTCATGTTGTCAGAAATATAATTTGAATCCAACTGTCTTCTCATACACCAGTGAATTTATATTACTATGTTTTACTCATAATTAATTTTTAGGTAAAAGCTGTAAGGTTCTTGCTTTTTGGTCATCTGTATGTTTTTATGTTTTTTAAATGTCTGTATGTTATATGTATTCATTTTTTAAACCAGAATATATAAAAGAGCTCTATTGGGTTAAAGAGAAAATAACCATTTAATTAATTCATCACAAATATAGTAATTAACCCAAATACCTCTTAGTTCTTATGACTTAAGTAAATCTTGGTAAATAAGCTAATTTTAAATTTGTTCATAAAGCAAAAATAGAGCTGTTTTCAGAATTGTCAACATACATGTTTGCCTGAATTTATTGGTCAGACAGGATTATACTTTTCTCTACTAGATGTTTTAAGGTCATAAAACTATAAATCCAGATTAAAAGCAAACTAATCTTTGTTGATGTAACTTATTGACAAATAAGACTAGTTTAATATTACTGGTTTACTGAAAACAACTGTATCTTCTGAGTTATCAGCTAAGTATCCATATATTTAACTTTAAGAGTCTTACTTAGATGAACACCTGATATTCACATGCTGTTAGAAAAAAAGATTAGGAGAAGGTAACGTGAAATTATTATTAGCTCTGTCTAATGTCTCAGGTTTCATAAATAAAGTATGTATAATTGTTAAAAATAAATTAGATAAATGTAAATGAGATATTTATAAACTTTTCATGTAATTTGAAATCTTACCATTATATTGAATTAAATCATAGATATTGATAAAATATATGAGTCGTTTCTAAATAAGCTAAATACAGAAACATCAATTGTTAAACACAGATTAATATTTCTTTATTTTTGCCTTCTTAAATTTTATAAGACAAAAGACTTGTGGATCAATTAATATCATGTCCTGTTCCACATTAAAATTGTTCCATAAAAATCATTTTTAGAGATTATAAAATACATATTCATGAGATAAAAATACATTACAATTCAAAATTTATTCCTGGGTATTTACTAAAAATTAAAGTTACTAAACATTAAGATTTCTAATTAACATATGTAGCTCCATATACAAAGAAAATGTGTACGCAAAAGTAATGTGTATGAGTAAGAATTTTGTGTGGTCTCAAAAATAGGGGGAAGAAAAAGTAAAATTCTGTCCTAAGGTACAATGAGTGATTGTTCCAATATTTTAAAAAGGGAAAATATAGAACAAAAACTGGCAGGTCAAAGCAAATCATGGAGAGTTTATGAAGGATGGATCTTATAAAGGGAGTTTTGTATGTGATTGAATTGGTTAGGATGGGAAGGAAATTGTTTGCTTTTCTAATAATTAAGTATTGGTGTCAGGGGTACACTGATTAAGGACCAAAGTCTGGTACTCTGTGTTTGAAATGGCAAGGTTTTCTCAGAATGTTGATCTGCTGTGGGTTTAAAAAAAAGTTGCAAGAGGTTTTTATCTTAATTCTGAAATCTGGTTTTTTTTTTTACATTTTCAACCATTTTCTGAAGTAGAGCTTTTTCTTATTTTACAGTTTCTACCTATTTTCAAGTTAGAAGTGTTATCTTCTTCATGTAGGAAAAAAATTCATTTCTCAAGGTAGAGTTTTCCTTTTGAAGCTTTTCAGACCCATATCTCAGTGGCTGGACTTTATATGCAACCCATTCCATGTGATTTACCTTCTGTTCTTTCTTCTTTCCTTAAAAAGGTACATATTGTTGCTTAACTAGAGTTACTCAACTATAGCTAACTATAATTATATAGAAATTTTGAATTGTAATGTATTTTTATCTCATGAATATGTATTTTATAATCTCTAAAAACAACTTTTATAGAAAAACTTCAACTCTCCTCCAACTTTTGTGTTAGTTTTCATAATTTTTTTTTTTTAGCTATAACTACTATGGTGGCCCCGATGCTGGCAATGTTTGTCTTAAAGTTTTCTCTGGCAATATGAGACTGTACTCTTGGCTCTTCTTTTTTAATATAATTTAAACTTTTATGTTAGATTCAGCGGGTGCATGTTCAGATTTGTTATTTGGGTATACTGTGTGATGATGAGGTTTGGGGTTTGGATCCCATCACCTGGGTAGTCAGTGTAGTACCCAATAGGTAGTTTTTCAACCCATGCCCTCCTTCTTCACCCCCAAATAGTCTGCAGTGTCCATTGTTTCCATCTTCTTTTCCATTGTTCTCATCTTTATATCTATGTGTACTCAATGTTTAGCTCCCACTTATAAATGAGAACATGGCTTTTCTTGATGTGTCTAAGTTGTTCTGTGCAACCAGGCAATTTCACATGCTTTTACTTTTTCTAAAAGCCATGCATTCCCCTGATCAAGGTTCTGGTTTTCTTGTTTACTTTATTCCTTTTTAAGAGAGTGTACACTCATAATCTTGGACACATACTCTTGCAGTGTCTAATTGGATTCAAGTACCTTTCCATGAGGTTCAAATTCTAGGTTATCCAAATGGGCTTCCCATAGGAAAGGCAGTCATACTGTAGGAGGCTTTTCACTTACCTTTTCACTAATCAGCCTAAGAAACAGATATTTTGTATTTAAAGATAATTTCTTGTGCTTGGTGCTGTCTTTATTAGTTTTTTACTACTTAGAAAAACTAGGTCATCTCTAGTACAGGTCTAAGTTTTTCCCTCTGAACTATATAACTTTTTAATTTGCTTTCAAGGTCTTTTAGTAATCACTGATTAAATAAATATTATCTCACAATGACATCTGATTATATTTTAATTAAATGTTTTACGTTTTTTTAACATCTTTAACAAACTTCCCCAAAATCAAATTCTAATTTAAGTACTTTAAAGCTTAAATTGACTTGAGATTTTTCAGTTGGGCCCCAAAAAAGCATCAAAGGATGTGTCTCCCATGATGCTTATTCCATGGGTTGTATAAGAAGCACTGTCAAGTAATAAAGTGACACTAGATCTTACTAAAATTATATTTAGATGAATGTATTATTGATGTGAATGCTTTAACATTTATAAAATGTATAAAGGTCTGATGGTTCTTACTGTGATGCTATCAGTAACGATTTTGGTTGTTATCTTAAAATGCCATATACAATAGACATAACTAAATTTCTTAATCAACGGCTGAACTTTTATCACATTATACTGTGACTGTTCTAATTTTTTGGTCATGTACAGTGCTGATTCTTATCTAGAGGCATCTGCAACAAGATTCATAAAAAAGACTCTAGCAAGTATTCCTCAGTACAGGTTTCTAGTAACTTTAAGATCAATGGACTAAATAAAAATTTCTAAAATACTAACAGGTTCATAAAACTGCCAACCAAGATAATGAAGAACAAAATTTAATTACCTGAGATTGAATAACTGATAAAAACTATGATTTTTATGACTTTTATTTGAAACATTATCGGTTCTTCATTTAAATATTTTGTTTTCCATATTTAAGAAAACTTTCTCCCTTGAGCTACCTATAGCTTACAGCAATTTGGTAAAGGGCACTTTAATAAATGAAGGGGAAAACATTTACTTTTCTTTTCCACTTGATCCCTTCAAAACTTGAAAACTATTCATGAGTTTTTTTATGTTATGACAATATGGTTTTTAATAGGATGCAATTATAATTGTTAATTATATTACCAATATTATTATATTGGTAGTTATAGTACCAATATTATTATATTGGTAATATAATTATTTAATATGATATCACATTTAAAATTAATATATCATATTTTACATTGTTTATACTTATATAAACTGAAGATAAAATCTGAAGCCTGCCTTGATTTGGCTTCCTAGCTTCAAAATATTTTTAACAAAGGTCCAATCTGAGAGTCAATCATTATACTTGTTATACTAATATAAACAATCAGGCCAAATCTAATAAATCTGAATTTATGTTACAAACAAATTAGTGTTACTCTAATGATCTTTTGTAAAAATTGGGCTGTCTATAATATATCTGTTATTAGACTGTAACCCTATGCATTGTTTTTGAGTTTTTATTATCTACCTGTAAGCTGGATAGGATACTAAACTCTCCTAAGTTCCTCTAATTCAATTTTTCTCTCATAGAATTACTAAGAAGAGAAATAGTTATTTCCTAAAGCCCTATAAACAAATTACAGTTTAAATTTAGTTTTTAGTTTTAGTTTAAATAAATTTCAGGGGACAAGCCTCATGCCTAGTGTGTGGGCTACACAGAGTTCACCAAACCACCCAGTGACATAACCCGAGACATTCAAACTGTGAAACTGCCAACTTCATGCTGTAGGCAACTTTTCCCAAGAGCGGTAAACCAAAACTCCATGTTCGAATAAGACTCTTGCCCCTCTTAATGCCTATCTTTTTCACTTAAATAATCAATTATTTAATAATCGATTATTAATCTATTATTAAATAATCTATTATTTATAATAATATAAAAATCTATTTATTATTGTAATGGTAATTATAATAAGCTTGTAATTAAAAGTTAAGAATCATAACTGATATGAATAACATAATAAAACCTGACCTAAGCAATTCTTAAGTACGCCTGTTGGGTAACTTTGGCAATGTCCCTAAGACAACTTTTTGTTCTAATTGTACTAATGGTCCTTTCCACAGAGCTGGCATTTTGCTTTAATTCATCTTAATCATGAAATGCTAGTCCATGGCTACAACAGGTCTTCCCACTTCCTCTATGGCCTTTTCATCTGCTGAGCTGGCTGCCATTAGGCATGAGCTCTTGGTTAAAAACCTTTGTACAAATTAAATTTATTTGTACAACAAACAAAGGTTGCTGGGTTTTTTTTTTTTTTTTTTTTTTGTATTTTGTTCTTGATATTTAAGCTCTGTTCTTGTGTTTTGTCTAATCTTTGTAAAATTAGTTATCTCAATGGGATAATGTTAGCCAAATACTTTGAGATTACTGCCAATACCTAAGAGACGAATAAGATAGAACTTGATGCTAAACTCCAGGCAAACCTGCCCTAAGAAAGGTCTTGGTTGTTCATTCTGTTTTTCTTTCTGGCACCTTTGTTGCTCAAATGTGGCCTGGGTCCCTGATGTTGATTACCTTACTTCCCCCTGATGGGGGACTAGAGACCACCAAGACAGGTCCAACTAAGCACCAAAAGGCAATTAAACCTAATTTCAAGACAGTGGACCGGTGAGATTTTCAGAAAAAGATCTTGATCAAAAGGGGGAAATGTGAGAATTAATGATGTGAACTGAAGTTAACTTGTCCACCCAACTAGATTAGAGTCAGGAGACCAGTGGCAGGTGGGCAGCACTGAGGCACAGGTCACCTGCCCAGGGACAATCTCACCAGCCAGCTGCCAGGTCCCTTGCCCAGGGACGACACCACCCACCAGCTGCCAGCTCACTTGTCCAGGGACACTATCAACAAGCTGCAATGTCAGTTACCCAGGGACAATCTCACCAGCCAGCTGCCAGGTCACTTGCTGCAACCTTAAGGCCACTTTTACGCAGGAGCTGCTGAAACAAACTCCTGTGACTCCAAGACTAGTGTTACCCACTCTCATCACTCACCAATCAGAGTTTGCCAGCTCCCCAAAACTTCACCAGTGCCAATGAGTTTTCTTTCACAACAATACATAACATTTCTCTTTCTAATAAGACCCTTAACCTTCTTTCTTCTGTGGACATACTGAAGACGACCCAGTCTGTGTGTACACCTCAAGCCAAAGTCTGTTCTCCAAAATAAAACATTTTATTTAGAGATTCATGTGTATATTTTTATTTGACTTTGACGATACTCATATGCCACCTCAGAAGCAAAATATTTTTGAAAAAGAGAAGATGGCTTTGGGAAAACCATCACATAGGTTCTATTTTTATGTTTATCTATATACATAACTGTGACATTCAGTCAAAAAAGTAAAATATTTCCCCTGACTTGTGATGGCCATTGGCAGTGATAAGAAAAGTCATCCTAGAATTGAAAAGTTCAGCCCTGCCCTGCCCCATGGGCCAGGGTCATCTGCTAGAAACACTCAGGCAGCAAGAATTAAATGGATCCTCATCTCTGTTTTCTCAGTGTTGTGTTTGGAACAGAAAGTCTTTTCCTCCCTTCTTAATGGTGTTAATCACATCTTTACCAATAGAATTCAAAAGGCTCCCTTTATTGCCCTCACAATATGCTCTCCTGAGGCAAATAATTTAGACTCAAGTAACTGCCAAGATTACTGGAAACAATAAACCATATTTACACATGCCTGTTAATGTTTTATGTCTGAAAGAATTCTTATAAAATAGACACCCAGTATCTAGAATCATGAGAGATATGGAACCTTCCTTTTCATGCTTGTTTTTTATTTTGTTTTACAGGTAAAAGGTAAAACTTTATATTTTTATCTCCTTGTTTCCTTAAGATCTTCTAATTTTAGCAAAATATTATATCATGTTTTCACCCTCCACAAACAATCATTCTTTTTTCTAGAAATACCTTGACTCCCCTTCAAGAATTCCCCTTCTCATGAGGTGGTAGTGGTGGCTCTGGCTCTGTCCCCTGTGGTCTCCTGCCTTTCCCTGACCCAGGAGTGGGCACATAACTCAGTGGGACCACAGCTTGGAGTCTGGAGTGAGAATAGGTGGGAAGCTCCGTGGAGCGCCTATCCAGCCACGTGGCCTTGGAGTTATCCTGTTCTGATGGATGCAGGACGACTGAGCCTGTATCTGAGCCTGCACCTGCTCCTGCTGCCTGGGGATTCTGCAGGCCATCACCACCCCCACACATTCCCAATGCTCTTAAGCATGCCACAGTTATTTTCTATGGCTTGCAACCAAAAAACTCTAACAACTTATACAACTCTGCGGAGCCAACAGTCACAGACTACCAGTGGCAATGAGAGGAGACCAGGTTCCAAAAGAAAATGTGATGAGCATTTAAAGAAAGAATTACCTATGTCTGAGTGAAGACCTATGACACAAAACATGTAAGGAAAGTGGGTTGAAGTTGAGAACACAGGAAATATTTTCATGAGGTTTAAATGGTTCATGCAGATTGAAGCCAGACCTGGCCTCCATATCCTCCAGTCTCCCCTGCCACGTCAGCGACAGAATGGATGTGTGGACAGCAACATGTGCCATCACCCAAGCTCAGCAGGACCCTCACCTCCCCTAGTACTTGGAACTAGGAGATTGTTTAACTTTCCTGTTATTCATTTGAAACACAAACTTTGATAGCAATGGTTCACCTTAATATTTAAGAGAATGGTTCCATTGGCTTTGATAGGCATCTTTTCTAATCTATTTTAAAATACTATTTTATAGTAACATGGAAATTTGCATGTGGGGTACACATCAGTGGTGCTGTGTGTACATTTTACTTTTGGATATCTGTAAGATGGAAAGATTTAGAGATGTCTGGAAGGCTGGGTGCTCTGGCCCTGCTGACCAACAGAAAGTCCATGCCAGAGGTCCTGTCCATAGCAGTAAGAACGGAAATACTAGAGCTAAGCCAGCAATCCTGCAAGGGACCCAGACGACACACATAGGCTGAGGAGGAGCCACAGAACTCAGGACAGATGCTCCAGAGGCAGGGAGCTCAGGCCTGATGTCATCGCTCAGCCACCAAGGACATGCATATGAAGGTGGTTCCTAGCAGCTCTTGGGTCCTCACAGCACAGACAGGCACCTACCTCCAATAGAAGACTTCATGTATGCTAAGAACTTTTCCTTCTTTGAGTCCACAAAGCCTCCCAAGAGGTCCAAAAAAGAGGTGGCCTCAGTGTCATTCAGGCCTGGGCTTCCAACCTGGCATTGCCACCTCCAGCAAGGCATGTAAGGATGTCGATTTCATCATTTATAAAAGGAACATGGCAGCATAGACATGAGCTCCTTGCCATAGCCCCTCCTTCAGCTGAGCAGGTTGCAGTCAATGTGATCAGACGCTGGATGCCAACGCTGGCTCTATCCCCAGGTCTGGGGCTGAAGTGCTTGAGACTCCCAGTCACGTGTCCAGATGGTTTTGCAAATGGTCGTGATTCCATCCCCAAAAGCACAAGTGCTCCGACAGATCCCTAGTTGCCCATATCCTTTGTCTAACTCCCTCACAAACTTCACGTGCTCCTGGCTTGGTGGTGAGTCTGCCACCTACTCCATCACCTGCCCACCCTCTACTTCCCAGGATCCAAATAACTGCCCTATTCATGCATCATCAAATGATGGTCTCCTCTAAAAAGAATGTGTTTGGCTCTAGACTGTGTAGCGTGTTTGTCTCTCATTAGCCCGTGTCTGCTGCCAAGGGCATTCATCATAGGGCCCCGTGTCAGATGACTTCAGCAGCACTCAAGTGTGAGACTGACCTCTTTGGGATCCTTTGATGCAACTCAAGAAGCATTTCCAAGAGTCCCTGCTGCCCCAGCTTCATCATGGCTGGCCAGAGCCGGCAGGGCCACATGTCCGAGGCCAACCACAGCTGCCTCCTTTTCAAGCAACAGCTCCAGAGACCTAAGCCAGTGATTGGCACCTTCACTTTAGAGGTTGACTTATAAGCCAATCCTCAAGAGATAGTAGACCAGGTTTTTTTTGTTTTTGGTTTTTGTTTGTTTGTTTGTTTGTTTTGTTTTTTTGCATCAGTTTAGATTTCACAGCTTCAGAAACAACCAGATCCTGCTAGAGGCAAAATCCAAGTAAATCCAAGTGAAGGAAGTGTATATACAGGTGGAGACAGCCCTGGACAGGGGCCTCTGTCATTCCCAGGGTCTGAGGCAAACGGTGTCAGCGTTCTTAGGTCAAGTAGCCCCATCCTGGGCTGCCCTTTGGCCAGAGGCTGCACAGCCCTCTGTGCACGCAGGAATCAGGCATGTTCTCTTGTGTCCTCCTCTGCAGAATGAGGACAATAGCATCCCTTACCTGGTAAGTTCAAGGTGAGGATTGAGTCTGTTCAAACAGGTAAAGAGTTTAGAAGAGTGTCTGGCACACAGGATGGGATTCGCGTGTCCAGTCCTTATCACCTCCAAATACAGGCAATAACGATGGCTGGCCTGCCACGGTCCCAGCCCACTGAGCTGAGGTGAGTAAAAACACCAAACTCACCGTAGGAAAAGCAAAAGCATGATGCTATCATAAGAATTGCCACATGTGCAGATGATGGCTTGGGTTCTAGTTCCTAAGTCTTCTAATTTGCTGGTTTTGTGTTGATCCTGAATACGTTTAAAGCCCTGCCTACTTTCACTGAGACTATGGGGAGTCCTCTGTGCTGCTGGAAAATCCCTAATAAATGCCCAGAGGAGATTTCCTGGGGTCTCCACCGCAGGTGGTGATCATGAGCCTGGACGGTGGAGGTGTAGGGTCTCCAGTGTAATTCCCACTTCCACCACTAGCAACCAGGCCATAAATGCCACCTTCTGCCCCTGTTTTCCCAGCTGTAAAACGGGATTAATTGTAGGTCCTACATTGTGGTGGTGTTAGGAGAACGGCATGAGTTAATGTGTAGACAGTGGCTGTTACCCAGCAAGCACTCTGAACGTTAGCTATTATTACAAATGAAAATATAAAAACAAGATTAGTCATTGCTGTGGAGCGTTCCAGTCAGTCCCTTCTGAAAGTTAAGGGGTGAAGGAAACCATGAAATGCACCTGAGAGCTCCTCTGGGCCCGCCCTGCTTCAGCCGCCAGCACTGCACCTGCGCTCTGCAGTCCCTCCCATCACAGCGGAGGTCTGGCAGTGACATCCCTGCCTGCAGCTGCAGACTGAGGCGGTGCTCCCAGCTCCCGGGGCTTCTCATGGAATCCGGCAATAGCCGGTGACGCCTGGACGCCTGAGTCCTGACCGATTCTTTGCAGGTTGGGCTGGGTGGGGTGGGGGGATGGCAGGACCCTGGAGGCCCCCTTTCCTCTGCAACAGAACTGGCTGCCCCAGCCCATGATTGGTGTTCACATGGGCTCCGCAATGAGGTGCGACACTTAAAGAAAGGGCTCTGTCACTTACCCAGTGAAACACAGAGTCTGAAGGCCAAAGAACTGGTTACTTCTTATATGTGAGGTAGGACGACCTGAGCTCTGGCGCAGAAGGAATGTCACTTACCCAGTGAAATGGAGTCTGAAGACCAAAGAACTGGTTACTTCTTGTACCTGAGGCAGGATGACCTGAGTTCCAACCCAGATGGAGGGGGTCAGCGCTCAGCTCCCTTCAGTTCGGCACAGAGTAGCTGACCTGGTGCTGAGCTGCCTGCAGCCGGAGCTGGGGGAGTGGGAAATCATGACCCACAGGTTTGTCTTCAGAGAGCCTGTTGAGGGTGGCATGTGACAGGCACCTGAGCACCCAGGTCAGAGGCAGGGTGGGGGGACAGATATCACATGACCGGGTAGAGGGACTTCTGGGAAGCCAGTCCTGAGTTAAAGGAGTCTGGAAGCCCAGGGTGGGACCAGGGTGCTGGCAAGGTGGGCAGGGGCTGGGCACAAGGTGAGGTCTGGCTTCTCTGGTGTGGTCCAGGACTTCTCAACATTTCCTCACCATGGCACACACAGAAACAGAATAGTCTGTGGCACACCAGGGCAAACCACAGGATTTAGGAGCATCTGCAGGGGGCAGGAGGGAGAAAATGCCTCCTTTTTTCTTATATTATGTAATTGTGAAAGAAAAGTAAAACACAAAGCACGAGGAAAGGTCTTAAAAGGTTGAGTTTGAACAATACTTCCAGCAAAGTTCTACTCAAACTTTAAACGAAAATTTTAGGTTGTTTTTGCAAACAACTCTTTTACACCAAGCTTTATGAGTAAATTGGCTACGAGAGTTTCCTGACTCGGAATTTAAGGAGTCACTGCGATAACCACTAGGTTACACAACAGTCCTGCTCTCACACTTAAGTGATTTACCAGCAGCCACTTCCCCTGGTTGACTGAATGTCCTGTCTGGCCATTAAACAAAAAGTGGAAAAGTTGGTCTTTTTAAAATGGGCTGAGAAGCATGTGATCATTCTATAAATCTTTTTTTAAAATTTTCTCTCATTGAAAAATGTAGTTGAAATTTCTTATGATAATGCAAAAGGATTTCCAATCTAATGACACTCTTAAAAATCAAGTATTTCAAAGTCACAACAAAATGTTTCCTTAAGAAGATGCAGATGTTTCTGTACTATTTTTTTTCTTTAGGATTAAAATTATAGCACCAACTGCACATGACTGGAAAACCAAATTTAACAACACTTTTCCAAAGTTGAATTTTTGCTTCACACTTACGAGCTGTGTTTTTATGTTAGTATATTTCAATTATACGCAATTTAAATATGTCAGTGAAGAAAGCAGATTTTTGAAGAAAATACTATCCTAAATAAATCTTTTATAAAAAGTTTTTCTTCAATTTTTTTTAAGTGTTTGATAAAACTTCCTGGGGTCATCAGGCATTTTAGTAGGAAATCTCTGAGTGGTCTTCAGATTCCATTTCTTCTCTTGAAGCTAAAACTGGACAGAGCAATAATGACTTGGATTTCAACAACCCATTGTTGAGCGTGGAAGTCTGATTTACAAGTAATTCTGTGTTGTTTTGTTTTTACATAAGGAGACTCTGTGATTACTACTGTGCAATACTGGAGTCTAGGGATTTTCAGAACAAACTCTCAAGTGGAGGCCATCACACCTCTCTGACTTCACCCACAGGCCAGGTGGACGGACATGGGCGGGGTTTCCATCAATCTCATTTGTCTCAAGTATTCAAGTACTACTTTGGATATTTACTCGAGCTCTTTGTTTTGATACTTTCTTCAGGACAAATTACGTTCTTCCAAGAATGTCTCTTCAGGGATTCTAACTGGGGCTATTAACAATCACTAACGTCTATATACAGAATAATTCATCTGCAAGAAAAACTTTTTTTTTTTTTTTAAATGGAGTCTTGCTCTGTCGCCCAGGCTGGAGTGTGGTGGCACGATCTCGGCTCACTGCAAGCTCTACCTCCCGGGTTCACGCCATTCTCCTGCCTCAGCCTCCCCGAGTAGCTGGGACTACAGGTGCCCGCCACCACGCCCGGCTAGTTTTTTGTATTTTTAGTAGAGATGGAGTTTCACTGCATTAGCCAGAATGGTCTCGATCTCCTGACCTCGTGATCCACCTGCCTTGTCCTCCCAGAGTGCTGGGATTACAGGTGAATAAGAACTTTTTTTTTTTTTTTTTTTTTTTTTTTTTGGGTGGAGTGTCTCTCTTTCACCCAGGCTGGAGTGCAGTGGCCGGATCTCAGCTCACTGCAAGCTCCGCCTCCTGGGTTTATGCCATTCTCCTGCCTCAGCCTCCCGAGTAGCTGGGACTACAGGCACCCGCCACCTCGCCTGGCTAGTTTTTTGTATTTTTTAGTAGAGATGGGGTTTCACTGTGTTAGCCAGGATGGTCTCGATCTCCTGACCTCATGATCCGCCCGTCTCGGCCTCCCAAAGTGCTGGGATTACAGGCTTGAGCCACCGCGCCCGGCCAATAAAAACTTTTTAAACCAATTTCTGGGTCAGAGTTGGGAAGTCAATGAGTTGGATTTTATACTTATTTCCCTCACCAAAAATGATACAACAGTAAGGGGTTCCTAACTAAAACTTTATTAGTACTTTAGAATTTATACTAAATCTACTCTTGAATATTTCCCTAGGTCAAACATCTCTCAATATAAGAATGCTATTTTGTTATACTATTAATAATGTTGAAGTGCATAAGATTTTATAATACACTAATATTTTACATGTATTTTCTCGAACTCCTGACCTCAGGTGATCCACCTGCCTCATTCTCCCAAAGCGCTGGGATTACAGGCGTGAGCCACTGTGCCTGGTCATATTTTACATGTGTTTCTACCAGGCAATTGGTGGGATCATTTCTTTTATCATTCATAGAAGTGTTTAGGACATTTTTTTCCTTATTGCCACCATTTGGGACAGGGGGTTCTCTGCTGTTGCTGCTGTTGTTGATTTTTTTCTTCATATATATATATATACACACACACACATATATATATATTTTACTGGTGTGCAGATGCAGTTGAGGTGCATAAAGAGAAGGACTGTGATGTGCAAGGCACACACTCCTGTACTCAGCTGAGCGCTGCAATACACAGAAGCCTGCAACAGCTGTCAGAAGCCCATGGCGGCTGGACTGCTGCTCTAATCTATGCTTCCTTGCACCTGTGTTCCAAGCCCTTTGCCAAGTGACTTGGCTGTGCCCATGGTGAGAAGAGGTGAACATTCCTCTTCACCCCATTCACCGATCTGGGTGTGGCCATGTGGCTTACTCTGGACTACAACAGACACTGGGAGCGCCTACAGACAGGCTTGCAGTTTGCTGGCGTCCTGTACTTTTGTCCTCTGCCATAAGCAGAACTGATCCAGGTGGGGACTTGTCCTGCAGCGAGGAGACACCTGCAGGACCCTAACCCACGTCCAGAGCAGAGCCCGGCCCGCCCCTGTGCAAAGTCATCAGCATTATCACGGCAAGAGTTCATGCAGGCTCTAGCTCCCCCTCCAAAATCTCTTCCACCCTTTCTGTTTCCTTATCATATCACAGTCCATACCAAAAATTACCACTAGCTTGCATATAAGAACTAAAACATAGGTCATATTTTCTATGTTTAGTCAAAAACCTTGCCTACGATGTGTATTGTTTCAAAGGCTGACAGGGTCTCTCCGGTCGTGGTTTTTTGGCAACATGAGCAATGGATGTCTGGGATGAGAACTCTGCCATATAGAATGTAGCCTACAGAGCACATATTCAGATTTATATCCCCTACACAGATTACTACATTCTGAATGGCATGAACTTTCCAATGAGTAAGAGTCATTCACTCACCTCTCTTCTGTATTCCCAGTCCTTGAAATAGTTGACTTCAAAGGTTTTCGCCTAAGGTAAAGGATGATATACGCAAAGATTTTGTACAAACTCCAGGGAATTCCCGAGGAATACCACAAAGTCTGAATCTATGGAGACAAAGGAAAATTGTGCAATGAGTGGTGCTTTCCTTTCACACAGTGCAGCAGACAGGATCACATGGCCTCCAATGTGGGAAGGTGAACACGTCGGCCCTAGGCAAGCAGAGGGCCTTAGCATGCTGACTCTGCGGGCTCATCCTGAGACTTGAGCAGCCGTATGGGCACTGGGACTGCAGTCCTTTCACCTGCCCACCCCAGCCCCACCATCTCTTGCCTGGAGGTCATTTGGTCGCCCCCTTAGCGTCAAAGGCAGAAGCTATGAGAAAGGAGGATAGGGAAAGGGATGCAGGCCAGTTTTCAAATCCGGCAGGAGGAGCAAGGTCCCAGGGAACATGTGGTGGAAGGTGAGCATCCCGACCTAGGAAGGCATTGCCAAATGCAGGGAACACAGTCACACCAAAGCCTATGTCCATAACCATCATGGAAACTAACTAGGCCTTCTGACGAGAAATACAGAAGGGAAAGCCCATGCACACTAAAATACCACGATATTTGAGCAACAGAGAGAGAAAGAAGCCAACGCCATAATTTAAGAAGCTTAATATGGTGCTTGAATGTTTGGGGTGAATAATTACTCAATATTTTAAAGTTTTCTTTGTATAAATATATTTTATTACCTTTCTTCCAGAAATCACACTCACCAAAATCTATTCTTTTGCAATTATACCAATGAAATAGGAGCTATGGCCTCTGACCCTTTCCCGCTTTTGAGTCTAGGCCTTTAAGGAAACCACGTCATTATGAAGACTGGGGAGGAACAGCATCATGGGCACTGCTCTGCTCTACATGAAGGAGCCTGACAGCTGCCAGATCCCCTGGAGAGGGAAGGCTGCAGCCCCAGGCAGCAGGGAGCCCTGGAGGAAGCCACCTCTGCAGGCTCACAGGAATGCCAGCTCTGGGTTTCCTTCCTTTGTTCACTGCTGCTTCCCAGGTGCCAGACGGAGCCTGGAACTCAGTGGCTGCTCAAAAGATATTGCTGAATGAGTAAATGAATGGAATTGCACAGGAGTGAGGCCACAGTTTGCAGTTTAGCTGCCTGTCACGGTCGTCACCCAACCACCATTGCTGGAAATGTGCAGACAAGCTGTGCCTCTCCCTGTTTAAGGGAAATGTATTGAGATATCATTCACATACAGGGCACGTGCTCAGGGAGCCCCCTGGGATGACAGAGCTCACCCATCACCCCACAGAGCGTCTCTGCCTTGTCCAGGCAGGCCCTGGAGTACGCTCGGGTCTGGCTTCTCTAGTCAGAGGTGGTTTGAGTGAGTCTAGAGACTTCACAGAATCTGGGTCACAGAGCATGCACCCTTTTCCATCTGGTGTCTTCCACTCAGCATAGCGGTCCTGAGATCCAGCATGTCTCTGCTAGGATCAGCGGTTTGCTCCTTGGTGTTGCTGAGGAAAATTCGACTGCACGGAATACCACTGTCTATCCACACTGGATAGACACCAGATGAGTGCTTCTGCCTGCTGTGAATGAAGCTTCTATGAACAGTCTCATACTAGGTATGAAAGGAATATAAATCAAACACTAAACCAAATGGAAAAGTCAAGCTGGGAGCTGCCTCCCATTCTATTCCTAAATAAGATAGCTATAAAGATAAAAATGCTGTTCCTCCCTCACAATTTGCTCACAAGGAAATTCCTTGTGGAATAAGGACAGGCAGAACTCAAGTCATCCCTCTGCTCACATGAGACAAACGCGCATCTGATTGCTTCCTCCACCCTATTGTTTCACTCAGCCAGACTAAAGCATACGTGACTATTCCGGTAAATTGTGCAGTCAGTGAAAGGCGAATCAGAAACTTAAAAGAATGCAGCCATTTGTCTCTTATCTACCTATCATCTGGAAGTCCCTCCCTACATTGACTTGTCCCGTCTTTCTGGATACAACCAACGTACATCCTACATATAATGACTGATGTCTCATGTCTCCCTAAAATGTATAAAACCAAGCTGTTCCCTGACCACCATCATCAGGACCTGCGGAGGCTGTGTCACGGCATGTCCTCAACCTTAGTAAAATAAACTTTCTAAATTTATTGAGACTGTCTCAGATACTTTTTGGTTAACAAAGGTGTTTGTGGACATGTATATTCATTTCTCATAGATAAGTACCTAGAAGTTGAATTGCTTAGACATATGAGATGCATGTTTAACTTTTTGAGAAACTCCCAAACATATTTCCAAACTATACCATTTTACACTCTGTCAGCAGAATTTAAAAGTTTCCACCGAACCACATCCTTGTCAACGTTTGGTATTGTCAATATGTTTAAGTTATCTAGTGAATGTGTAGAGACATCTCGTTTTGGTTTTAATTTGCATTTTCCTAATGATAAATAATACGGAGAATTTTTTTCTTTCATATTGTCATATATGTGTCTTCTTTCTTAAAGTGCCTAGTCAAATATTTTGCTCATTTTTTGATTGCTTTTTATTATAAATTGTAGTTTTTAAAATATTATCTTGACACGTCTTTTGGCTAATATTGTAAATATTTTCGCCCATTCTGTGGTCTACTTATTGTTTCCTAATGCTGTCTTTTGAAGAGCAAAATATTTTTTTCCCTTTATGGAGACAAGATGGTTAACTTAGCTATTCCAAAATATTTTTAAAATTCTAGTTTCTTTTAAAACAACCACAGCAAACTGCATGGATTTGTTCCACATCTTTGAAAGAAAAACATTATTTTATTTATTTCTCAGTGGAAGATAAGTCAGTAAGACTCCACTTAGGCAGGTTTTGTTTTCCTTTCGTCATGCCTCTGCAATGCTCGGAGTCACCCACGCCTTACTCATTGCGGCTGGAACCAGCCCAGCCTCCTCACTCCTCCCACAGCCTCTGGCGCGGGGCGCTCCACGCTTGAAAGCAACGTTTGCGGTGTTTAAGTGGAAACGTTCGTGTTTTCTTGGTGACAGGTAAACGGCTGTAGGTTACAGACACGCGGTCCTTTGTATGTAACAGAAGGCTTTGAGGGTTTCTGTGAATATCACCCTGTGAAAAAACGGCAGCAGTGAGGGCAGCTGAGGCGTGACGCAGCCCTGGACGTGGGGTCAAAGAGGAGCTGTGCGTGGGGTCAGAGAGGAGCTGTGCGTGGGGTCAGAGAGGAGCTGTGCGTGGGGTCAAAGAGGAGCTGTGCGTGGGGTCAGAGAAGAGCTGAGCTCAGGACAGGCATGGCGACCGCAGGAGGAGGGCATGGCGGAGCCCACGAGGGGCAAAGTGGGCAAAGCCAGGGCTGGAGAGGGGAGAGCCAGGATCAGTGCCACGTCCCAAGGGGATGGCACAGAAGCCTGAGAGGCCACGGTCAAATGTGGAAATTGGCTTTGCCAAATCTTGCATTTCAGAGAGAAAAGGCAATATGGCATTAATGCTTGCCTTGTTTAATTTTCGTAATTTTCCCTTTCTTCCTGCCAATAGCTTGCTTTGTTATCCAGAGGGTAGCTACGGTTTTAGCTCACAGTGATGTCAACTTGAAGCTTCTCTCCACAAGCAGCTGTGACCTCAGCTGCAGTGCAGTCAGCCCTCCCGGCCTCCTTCCCCAGCCTCCCTGGTCTCCCAGTCACAACGCTTGGCGCTGGCTTCAGAGTGGCTGCAAGCCTACGGCCCCCAAGGCCTAGGGCTGATCAGCGTGAACAGTACCCAGCACACTTGCTTCAGAAAGTAAGAAGAAATAGGACACAAGTTACTTGTTCTCATGACTATAGCACAAACGATGAAACAAAACATCTTCCTCCAGAACAGGGCAAGTTGGATGGATAGTGATCTGGACAAAAATTTCCTGTAGATTTTGTAACTGGGGTTCAGCGAGTACTGGGCTCCCCAGAGCATACATGTGGAGACAGTTAAGTTGATCCAATTTTCCAAGACTCAGAGAAGATGTATTTATATTAGGAATACAAACTTGCTATTAATGCAACTTCAAAATGTCCAGGGCATCTGTTAGAGAAAAAAAAAAAAAAAAAAGAGTAAGTCTAGGGCTGGTTCGTGCTGTTGCTATATGGAGGGGATCCACGGCCAAGCCTGCTGCTCACATGCTGGGACACATTGCCTCGGCCTCCATCTCCGGGAGTCCCACGCTTTCTCTCCTGGGTTGCCCCACTATTCCTTTTGAAGTCCTCATGTTAGTGACAGTTCAGTTTTCTCTTCAACTTCAAAATTGCAGACAACCTAATTTCTACTGCTTGGTCAAGCTTGTTTCATTTATCTTCCATGTTAACTTCATTTAAATTAAATTTTTAACCTTCTGGAATCTTTGGCCTCTTATGTGACAAAAATAGGCATTAAATTATATCATTTCTTAAATTCTCTGTTGAAAACTCCAAATAAATTACTGAATATGATACAGATTAATAAGAATTTGGGCTCATTAAATGTAAGATAAATTTCATAGCTTAAGGTAATTTCACACCCCAAGGGACTTACAACCTAAACACAGAGCAGATAACCAACATTAACTGTCAGCTGTCCACTGAAGAACTATCTCAGACAAAAAATAAAATTTGGATTAACTCTCCATGGTGCACGATACTTTTATGAACCATCTCTTTTGGGTTGGCAGCTGCAGTGTGTTCTGAGAGTATGTTAATGCTACAATAACAGTAAGAATAAAATTAAGTTGGTAACATACAGAAAAAAAGAAATTGATTACATTATTCCTAATGACGACTTGAATCAAAGTTGGCACGAATACATTTTTGTCAGAAAGGATAAAAGAAATGAGAGAAAAAAAATATAAAAGAGCGGGCAGAGTACCTTTTTGGAAAAACACATTTGTGTGAGCCATATGAAATTGCCATTCAAAACCATTTGCATGTTGGTCATTGTGTATGGCTCAGTCTAGTCTTATCACCACGGAGATATCTGCTAGATATCTGAGAAAGATTTCTTGGTGGTCCTGTCAAACGGTGAGTTGGTGCTGCCACCTGGTTCCTCCAGGCTGCTTGACCTGTAGGTGGGTACATGACTCACACAGGTTATCTTTTTCTCCATTAAGCAGCCAATCATTTGCTAAACAGTGATAACACCACCTTTACTCTGAAAACACCCAGGCGTCCTCCTCCAGTAAGTCTGAAATACACAGTTTTCTTTAAGCTAAGGAAAAAGAATGAGCTCCCACATCTGCAAAGAATGCCTTTAAACAGAATGTCAAAAACGAACAGAAATTGTTTATTCCAGCATGTTCAGACCACCCCCTCGGTGGCCAGACTTGGGACCACGATCACATTCTTGCTTTGTTGTCTAAAGAACATGGACTTGCCAAAGTTGTGCAAGCCCCATGACATGTGCCACATGATATGAATCATCTTATCACGCAAGCACCAGAAGGAGTCTTCACAGCCTGTAGTTACGGAGACAGCAGGCTAGACAGAGCCGGGGCTCATCCTTCCTCCCCTGCACATTCCTTACGGGGCTGCCGGGGCCGCAGGTAGACAGCGCCTGTCCACAGGTGTGTGTGCAGCCGTGGGCTTCTCACCAGCCTGTGTCCACTCAGTGAAGTAGGACCACCACAGACCACAGAAAGATGTCCTGGGGCATAGGTGAACGAAGACTGCGGGTTCTGGTACCAGGTGACCCGGCCTAGTGTCTGAACCTGCACTTTCCTCAAGACATGAGCTCCCTGGCCTGCAGCTGAGCCCTCCTGGCCACCATGGTTGCACTGTCCTGTGTGAGGTGCAGCTGGAAAGCCTGGCTCAGTCCTCGTCACACAGACCTTGGAAAAGGCCAGGGCCTCTCAGCCTGATCAAGTCGACAGATTTTGCATGGGAAAAGTATGCCTTTAAATGGATTTTCCAACACAGAATGTCATGGCTTCTCTCTGTGGCACAGCTCTTGGCAAGTATTTGGAAAGTGAGGCTAAGAATAACAACAATGCCTGTCAAACACACAGGTGTATTAGAAAAATGAGATGATGAAGTGGAATCAAGTGAAAACTAAAAAGCTCTACATAAATATGTTATTTTTATTACTACCTTTTGATGAAGGCAGAGCAACAACCAGTTTTACATTGTTCACTACTTCAGAACATTTCATTATGGATAGAAAAGTACAGATAAAAAATAAACATGATACATCTCACCATTAGAAAGGCAGATGTCTGAGGCATCCACTCACAGCACCACCTACTCCTCCTCTGAGTGGTATGGAGAGTACTGCTCATTGGAACCAGGCAGGGGAAGCCTCTTGAGTCCACAGCGGCCAAGTCCTTGACCCCAGGCCAGAGGTTACACCAGAATCCTGCCGTCCATGCCCCACTGGCTTTGTTCTCTGCTTTCCTGGCTGCTGTCTTCCTAGAAAGTCTTCATGGGCAGAGGACTTATACTGCTATTCTTGTACTGCAACCTGACACAGCTGTCTTCCTAGCAGTGGCTTTGCCAAGTTTGTTTTGTCCTAAGTCTTCCCCTGATAGAGGTCTCTAACAGATTTAGTATTTTACATATTAGAGTTTTCTTCTTTGACATTTATTCAGCAATTATTTACATTAAATAATTTAAATTTCTTTTTCTTAGAGTCACATTTGACATAACTGGGGTATGATTTACTTTGGAAAAGTTTATATAAAAACCATAGCAATATGTGTCAGAAACAATATATGTCAAAATTTTAAATGATTTACTGAAATTAAGAATATTAAATAAGACTGGCTTTCTTGCCTTACATCTGCTTTATTTATCTTTTTTTAACTAGTTTTAAATAAATTTCATTTTAACAAAGGGGAAACAATATATTTTTAAATGTTTGGGTAACTCTAAGTATTGGAAAAATAAAAATGAGTTATTTTAAAATTTTGCTTCTCAAAAATATTACAAGAAAAGAAAAATGCATGCACATTTATGGTCAATGTGTGAAAGTTCCAATAAGGATCCCAGGAAGTCGACCCTGTGACATTTCATAGAAGGTGAGGTCACAGCACACTGCATCTCTTGTGAAAATAGAGACAAGTGGTGGCCGGTGAAGCTCTGGGTGGGATGAAAGCCCCCAGCTCCCTGGCTTCACAGATAAGAGACCACTCTAGATCAGGGCATTCCTGGCTGGTCCCAGGGGTCCTCACATGGGGCATCACAGGCTGCTGAGGTTTTCTGGAATCTTGAATTGACTTGGAAGCATCCTCACTCTTCTAGGATCCTATAACCATGGGGTCCTGGGATCTTAGGAGTCCAATATATGCAGATTTAATTCCCAGGACAGCTATTTATCGCTGATGAATGTGTCCAGGCAGCCTGTGGAGCCCTGCCTCGGTTGTTCAATCATCAGCTGTGGGAGGAGGGCCCAGAAGCCATGTTGTGCACAGAGGCAAAGGTCCTGGGACAGAGACCATGCTCACCACGCAGAACCCATGGGCGGAGGCCGCACTCACCACACAGAACCCACGGGCAGAGCCCACACTTACCACACAGAACCCATGGACAGAGCCCACACTTACCACACAGAACCCATGGACAGAGCCCATGCTCACCATGCAGAACCCACAGGCAGAGGCCACACTTACCACACAGAACTCACGGCCAGAGGCCACACTCACCAAGCAGAACCCACAGTCAGAGGCCATGCTCACCATGCGGAATCCACAGGCAGAGGCCACACTCACCAAGCAGAACCCATAGTCAGAGGCCATGCTCGTCATACGGAATCCACGGGCAGAGGCCACACTCACCAAGCAGAACCCACAGTCAGGAGGCCATACTCACCGTAGGAATCACGGGCAGAGCCCTGCCCAAGCAGAACCCATGGTCCAGAGGCCATGCTCATCATGCGGAATCCACGGGCAGAGCCACACTCACCCAAGCAGAACCCACAGTCCAGAGGCCATGCTCACCATGCGGAATCCACGGGCGAAGCCATACTCACCAAGCAAGAATCCACAGTCAGAGGCCATGCTCGTATGCGGGATCCACGGGCAGAGCCACACTCATCAAGCAGAACCCATAGTCAGAGCCATGCTCACCATTCTCAGAACCCACGAGCAGAGCCACGTTCACCACACAGAACCCACAGGGAAGAGGCCCACGCTCACCACACAGAACCCAGGCAGAGGCCACACTCACCATGTGGAGCCATGAACCCGACTAATCAGAGAAGACCACAGTCAGAGGCCATGCTCATCATGCGGAATCCACGGGCAGAGGCCACACTCATCAAGCAGAACCCATAGTCAGAGGCCATGCTCACCATGCAGAACCCACGAGCAGAGGCCACGTTCACCACACAGAACCCACAGGAAGAGGCCACGCTCACCACACAGAACCCATGGGCAGAGGCCACACTCACCATGTGGAGCCATGAGCCGACTAATCAGAAGACCACAGCCAGTTAGGACTGTTTACTCCTTTATTTTCACTGCCCAAAAGAAATTCTCTCTTTTTTCTTCTAACTCTAATTATCAAACAAATACTATATTATATTTTATGGAAGGATATTCTGTTTCAACTTTAGCAAATTCTATGCAGGAGTACTGGACTCCACTTTCATTTTCCCAATGAGGAGGATCCCTTTTGAGGAGCAGAAAGACGTAAAACTATGACATGGCACACACAGGGGGAAGGAGCTTGCATAAAAGGGAAATCTGAAGCAAGTTTGAAAGTATGAAAAACAGTTGCTGCTTCTGGCCTGGTGATGGATGAACCACTACTTCTTACTTTTAAGTTGTTCCTAGTAGCATTCCTGGGCCCAGCTCACAGGTCAGTGATTACTCAGCTAGAAAGAGCTGGAGTTTACCATCCAAGGTAGCTGTGGCGAGCTGTAATTGAAAATAAAATACCGTGTAATTCCAGTCGCCTTTTATTAATTGATAACTCTATAAGAAAATAAGCCAAAAGTGTGTTATTTTCCTTATTTGTAATGTTCTGGAACATCAAGTAAAATACATTAACATAGTAGAATCTATATATACAACAGATATTATGCTGACACTTAATTAATTCAAACTACATTTCACTGCTGTTTTAATAACTTTAGGTGCCCTTGTCAGAGCCAATCCGTCTGTGGTGCACAAAAGGGCATGGAACATCCTGGCTAGCGCCCACACGCCTCCTTCCAGGCAGAGCTGAGAAGCAGGCTGCAGGAGAGCACTCCTGATGGAGGAGGAGGAGGAGGTGCCAGGAATCCACCCCACCCAGATAGCAACCGTACTGGCAAACTTGGATGTACGCACCTCCAGTACTTTGAATTTATGGAGTCTGTTGAAGGCTCGCAACTTCCAGAGGAAGACTTGAACTATAAACTTGGTTAATTTTTGTTAACTTCAGATTCTGGCACATTAGCAGCTCCCCCTCCCTGACCCCCACCCCCAGGCACACCTTTCAAAAGCGATCTGCACAGGGCCTGCAGAACCCAGGATGGGCAGAAAGCACCCATCCTCCAAATATCAGGGATCTCTGCTCTGAGCAGCGATGGATGCTTCTTCTTATAGAGGGTGCAAATAGGAGGGCAGCCATTGTTACCCTTCCCACATGGCTACAAGCCCCTTTCCTCCAGGAGAAGCAACTTCCAGGGCATTGAAGGAGTCGGCGCCCTTGATCCCTCCTCCAATTTTCTCTCTTCCCCTTATAGCAGCCAGACAGTAAAAAATTAGACCTTAAAAAACAACTATGTACTTGGGAAAAATTAAAAAGTGACTGTGGAGGCCAAGGTGGGTGGATCACTTGAGGTCAGGAGTTCGAGACCAGCCTAATGTGGTGAAACCCCATCTCTACTAAAAACACAAAAATTAGCTGTGTCCTGTGGCAGGCACCTGTAATCCCAGCTGCTTAGGAGGCTGAGGCATGAGACTCACTTGAACTCAGGAGGCGGAGGTTGCAGTGAGCCAAGATCATGCCACTGCACTCCAGCATGGGTGACAGAGTGAGACCCTGTCTCAAAAAAAAAAAATAAAATAAAATAAAAAGAAAGAAACAAAAGAAAAGAAAACAAAAGAAAGTGACTGTGCACGCCACAGGAAAGGCTCAAAAAAAGAACTAAGAAGATGTGAAGTTTACATCTGAGGCTGGTCCTTGGCACAGAGTCAAGCTGCAAAAATCAAAATAAACAGAAACAATAAACAGAACAATGACAAAAAAATCAAACCCAGGGGAAGAGGGAGAACTTTACTTCAGAATTACCACACTACTAGATTCAATTGTCAAGTTTTCAATAAAAGATCACAAGGCATTCAAAGAAATAGGAAAGTATGGCCTATTCAAAGGAAAAAGATAAACAAGGTAATAGAAATTGTCTCAGAAAGGACTCTGATGGCATATCTACAGCACAAAGACTTTAAAACAATTGTTTTCAATTACTCAAACAATTAAAGAGAGATCTAGATAAAGTGAGGAAAATTATGTATGAACAAAACGGAAATATCAATAAAGAGACAGAGAACCTAAAATGAAACAAAAAACTTATGAAGTAAAATATAAAATAATTGAAATAAAGTATTTACTAGAGGAATTCAAAGGCAAGTTTGAGCAGGTGAAGAAAAAATAGAAAACTATCAAGTCTGAGGCACAGAAAGAAAAAAAGAACTGAAAAAAAGTGAACAGAGCCTAAAGGGCCTGTGGGACACCCTCAAGGGGATCAACTTATACATTGCAGGAGAAGAAATAACAGTTGAAAACTCCCAAATTTGATTTTATAAAATGGCTATAAATGTATATCCAAGAAGTTCAATAAATTCCAACTAAGAGGAACTGAAAAAGTCCCACGCTGAGAAACATCATCATCAAACTTTCAAAGGCCAAAGGTAAAGAGAGAATTCTGGAAGGAGCAAGAGAAAAATCTTATTACACACAAAGGATTCTCTGAGATTATCAGCAGATTTCTCATAATAAACTTTGCAGACCACAAGGCAATGGTCTTATTCCTTGGGCTAAAATAAAACTCAAAGCCCCCAAAAACTCTCAACCAAGAATCCTACACCAGCAAAGATGCCCTTCAAAAGTAAGGGAAAAATTAAGATATTCCCAGATAAATGAAGCTGAGGAAGTTTGTTACCACGAGACCTGCCCGGCCAGAAATGTGTACGGGAGCCCCACAAGGTGAAATAAAAGGACCCTAGACAGGAATTTGAAGTTGTATGAAAAAATAAAGATCTTAATAAAGGTAAGTACATGGGCAGTTATAAAAGCTAGTATTATTATAGCAACACTGTATAACTCCACTTTTTGTTTTCCACATGATTTAAAAGACTAATACATTTTTAAAAAACTACTAGTCTAAAAGCTAATATTATCATAACTTTGGTTTGTAACCCCACATTTTATTTTCTAAATAATTTAAGATACTAATGCATTTAAAATAATCACCACTTTATGTTTTGGAGAACAAAATATGTAAAAATGTATTTTGTAATGTCAACAACTGACAGGGGTGGGGACAGAGATGTAAAGAAACAGAATTTTTTGTGTTATTGAAATTCACTGGTATAAATTCAAACTAGAGTGTTATAACTTTAGAATGCTACATGTAATTCCCATGGTAGCCACAAAGAAAACAGCTATACAATATACACAGAAGAAATTGAGAAAGAAACTGAAGGATTTACCTAAAAAATTTGCTTAACAGAAGAGACGGCCATAATGCAGAAAATAAGGGACAAAAAACTATAAGGTGTATCAAAAACAAACAGAAAGATGACAGTAGTAAGTCCCCCATTGTCAGTAATTAGTTTAAACGTAAATGGATTAAATTCTCCAACGAGAAGACAGATTGACAGAATGGATTAAAAACACATAATTCAACTATACTGCCCCTCAGTATACTTGGGGTATTAGTTCCAAGAACTCCCATATAAAATAAAAATTGCACATACTCAAGTCCCATAGTTGGCCCTGTAAAGTCTGTATATTCAAAAACTTGGTCTTCCATATATGCGAGTTTTATATCCTATAAATGCTGAAATTTTTATTTGCATTGGTTAAAGAAATCCACATACAAGCAGACCTGCACAGTTTGAACCCATGTTGTTCAAGTGTCAATTGTATATGCTGTCATATGCATTCCTTTTGAATGGAATGGTGATCAAAAGAAAGCAGGGGTATATACAGTAATAACAGAAATAAAAAAGCTTTAAGTCAAAAAGGCTAAAAGAAACAAAAAAGGACATTATATATTAATAAAAGGTATAATACAAAGAAATATAAATATTATAAACATTTATAGACCTAATAACAGACCATCAAAATACATGAAGCAGAAACTAGTAGAATTTAAGGAAGAAATAAACAGTTTTACAATAATAGCTGGAGGTCTCAATACTCCTCTTTTAATAATGGATAGGACAACCAGACAGAAGAGAGGTAAGGATATAGAGAATTTACACAACACGATAAACCAACTAGATCTGATAAACACTTTACCAAACAAGAACAGCATACATATTCTTCTCAAGTGCACATGGGACATTTTCCCAAAATAGACCATATGTTAAGCCACAAATTAAATCTCAATAGATTTTAAAAAGATAAACATCATACACGGTATCTTCTCTGACCATACAGGATGAATTTAGAAATTGATAATATAAGTTAAACTTGAAAAGTCAAAAATTGTGGAAATTAAATGACACACTCAAACAACCAAGGGATCAAAAAAGAAATAATAAGAAAAATCAGAAAATACTTAGAGATGAATAAAAATAACATACCATGCAAAAAAATCTGTGACACAGCAAGAGTAATGCTAAGAGGGAAATTTATAGCTATAAATACTTACATTTAAAAAAAAAAAAAAAGAGCTCAAATCAGCGACCTACTTTACAACTTTGTAAACTAGAGAAAGAACAACAAGCATATCACAAAGCTAGCAGAGGAAGTAAATAAGAAAGATTAGAGCAAAAATCAACAAAATGGAGAAAAGAAAAACAGAGAAAAACAAGGAAACAAAAAAAACATGATTCATTGAAAAGAAAAATGAAATTGAGAAACCTCTAACTATATGGACTAAGAAAAATAAATAAGTGAGTCTTATTTAATAAGTGAGTAATTAATTACTCAAATCAGAAATGAAAGTTGTGGACCTTACTACTAATTCTTCAGAAATAAAATGATTATAAGAAAGTACTATTAACAATTGTATGCCAACATATTGGATATCCTAGATAAAATGTACAAATTCCCAGAATCACAAAACTTACCAAGACTGAATCACAAAAAATTATCCAAAATTTGAATACACGTATAACTTGTAAGGAGATTGAATCAGTAACCAAAAATATCTCCTGATAAAGAAAAATCTTAGGCTGGTCATGGTGGCTCACACCTGTAAGCCCAGCAATTTGGGAGGCCAAGGCAGTCAGATCACCTGAGGTCAGGAGTTGAAGACCAACCTGGCCAACATGGCGAAACCCCGTCTCTACTAAAAATATAAAAATTAGCCGGTGTGATGGGTAATTTATAAGGAAAGAAGTTTAATTGACTCAGATTTCCACAGGGCTGGGGAGACCACAGGAAACTTACAATCATGGTGGAAGGGTAAGCAAACATGTCCTTCTTCACATGTCAGTGAAAAGGAGAAGTACTGAGCAAAGGAGGAAAAACCCATTATAAAATCATCAGATCTCATGAGAATTCACTCATTATCATGAGAACACAATGAGGGTAACTGCCCCCATGATTCAATTACCTCCCACTGGGTCTCTCCCACAACCTGTTGGGATTATGGGAACTAATATTCGAGATGAGATTTGGGTGGGGACACAGCCAAACCATATCAAACAGCATAGGGGCAACCACCCCCATGATCCAATCACCTCCCACCAGGTCT